TGCCATAAAACAACGTTTTGTGGAAATTCAAAAAAATTAACTAATGATGCAAGAGTTTCCCAATCAAACGAGGCACACTTCTTACGAAAAAATAAATGACCTCCATGCTGTACGCAGTAAATGATGACTCAATAGATACGTACCTTATGCGTGAATAATACGTATTTTATACGTACTTTAAGCGTGGTCGTAATCTTCTCAAAAGTAGAGCATCTAAGAGAGACAGCGTCGTAAGTGTTTGATGGTACTTGGTTGCAGTTTTTTTTTTTTTTGAAAAAACAAGTAGGTGACGGCAAAACGGAGTAAAATTTTGTGCGAAAAGCTAGATTCAGCATAAGTCAGTCTCTCTTCTTTCTCTTCGAGGATCCCATTTGGCGGCGTCAGAAAAGTTAGTTGATTGAAAATTTCGAGTTAATTTTTCAGTATCCACAGGCGTTTTAAAGACCTTTTTACCCTTGCAATTAGCATGCGTTATCAATAGCCTTTTTGATTATAGACTTTTGAATATATTCTTTTTGTTGGGTTAACAACTTGTTTAACAGAATCACTTGGATCAATTTGTATCTTGGATCATAATGAGTTCAAATTTCTAAGCGTCTACAGAACACTTGTTTTGGAGGTGACAAAAACGCCTGAGATGCCAAAGATCCTGGCTTCGAATCTGGCAGGACTTGTTTTTGGACGTCAAAGGCCCTGGGTTCGAATCTGATAGGAACTGTTTTTGGGAAATAGTCCGTTTCAAAAAAAATTGTTGAACCTACAGAAAAATTGTAGAACCTATTATTGTCTGCTTATGTTTTGTCGGCTTAGTTGCCATATTGTAGAATTGTTTTTTTGAAAGTTTTTCCTTTCATTAATTTAGCTTTTAGTGTTCTGGTTTACTTCTGCTGTTTGTAATTTTACTAAACTTGACTTGTATATTCTTTTTTTTTTGTATATTTCTTTTTTTTTGTTAAAAAATTTCATTCTGCCCAAATCATTTCGGCGGATTTATTTGCTTAATGACCTTATTTCGAGTTGTTTCAATAGAAACATACTTTTCATGCTCATATCTGTATCTCACAAAATTTTCTCAAGCTCAAATTCGAATTTTCTTGATTTGACTTTTGAATTTTTTTGAAGTTCATTTCATTTGCTTTGTTAATATCGAACAGCAAACGTGTAGAAGACAAAAAAGTGATCGTCCTTTAGTTTCGAAAATTATCCAGCTGACTATTGGCTGATGCTTTGATTAGTAAGATCACGCAAAATTTTGTCCAAATCTTTGTACAAATTGCCATAAAACAACGTTTTGTGGAAAATCAAAAAAATTAACTAATGATGCAAGAGTTTCCGAATCAACCGAGGCACACTGCGTACGAAAAAATAAATGACCTCCTTGCTGTACGCAGTAAATGATGACTCAATAGATACGTACCTTACGTGACTTGTATATATATATTTTTTCCGTATATTTCTTTTTTTTTGTTAAAAAATTTCATTCTGCCCAATTGATTTTGGCGTTTTTATTTGCTTAGTGGCCTTATTTCGAGTCGTTTCAATGGAAACATTTTTTTATGCTCATATCTGGATCTCACAAAATGCTAAAATTTTTAATAGAAGAGTTTTTCAAAACATTTTTTTTCGTCTTTTGTTTTTTCTTCCTTTATTTCGGCTTGATAGGTTTCGGCCTATAATATATCGACTTATTGGCTTCATATTGCCTCCTTGGGCTAGCGAAAAATTTTCGTGTGTGCGTGTCTGTGTTTTGAGGGTGAGGGGACTTAATAACTTCTTATTAGTCTTAAATTTTTTGAATTTTTCTTCTTTTTTTATTTTCCTTTTTTGGGCGTAATAGAGATCGGCCTATATTATATCGGGTTAGTGGCCTCATTTTGTTTAGCTCAGCTTTGCCTCTGTGTGCCAATGGGGGTTAGATTGGGTCAAGGGGTACCTCAGTTTAAAGCCTTGTCGATTGTAATTCGATCCGGTATAAAACTTATGGAGGAAGGTTTAGTGTGTCGAGAAAAATTGGTCTGTCATTTTTGTTTTTAGACCCACTTAAAGAAAACAGAGACGCGAGTTACTTGAAGTTAGTAGCGAATGATTTTCGTCGTAATTAATACAGCCAAATGTTTTTACACCCCACTAAAATGCGGTGATGGTACACCCCTGATGGTACATAAATATGTCAAATTAAGTATTTGCGTAGCGCAATTGCAACAATTCCCAAACGCTATGAAACTGGCTGAAGTTTTTTCTTTAGCCCTTTAAGTGCTAATATACACTTATATAGTCTTGGCGATTGTTCTGACCCTTGAAAATGAAGAGGAATTTTGTATTCGGGTGTGTTTTAGTTTTTTTTGTTTTCCACGCAAAATCAGATACCCAAAATAATTTTTGGAAAGTGTCGAGTAATATATCATAAAAAAGCCATTTCAGTCGTGATTGAAATGACCTTGTAAAAAGATTTGAAAAAGGTTTTTCAATGTCGAGGAAAACCCGATTGAAATTTTTGGTCCAATTTAGAGCGAAGCAGTTGAGCGAGCAGGCTTAAAAGAGTTTATTTATGCCTAATTTATACCGTGAAAACTTCATTTCACTCGGGAAAAGTAGGTTTTTGAAGTTTCTTTGCGCGATTTTTGGGAATGAAAAACTTCCAAAAAAGACTTTGCAAAAAATTTCATTTTTCTATTCATTTTTCTACAAAAACTGTTTTCCAATTTGCCCATTTTGATATAACTGTCGAATATGTCTAAGTTCTCGGAAAAACTTTTTTTTTTGTATTTTTAAATCGATGGTCGGAACGTTCTGTGAAACTTGCACAGTAAACAGCTATCCTTCTTCTCCTTTGTTTTTTATCAGGAAAAGTCTTAAAATTTTCTCAAGTTCAAATTTGAATTTTCTTGATTTGACTTTTGAATTCTTTTGAAGTTCATTTCATTTGCTTTGTTAATATCGAACAGCAGACGTGTAAAAGACAAAAAAGTGATCGACGTTTATTTCGAAAATGATTTTATTTTGCAGATTTCCCAGGGTAATAACGAAATTTTTATCTATCATAAAGTGTACGTGAATTTATAAGAAGGTTATTGCCATATATTTTTTGGTTAAAAATTCTAAAAACAAGGCAGTCATTTTTTTTGTTTTCTTGCATTCATTTGTCCTAATCCAGCTGACTATTGGCTGATGCTTTGATTAGTAAGATCACGCAAAATTTTGTCCAAATCTTTGTACAAATTGCCATAAAACAACGTTTTGTGGAAAATCAAAAAAATTAACTAATGATGCAAGAGTTTCCGAATCAAACGAGGCACACTTCTTACGAAAAAATAAATGACCTCCTTGCTGTACGCAGTAAATGATGACTCAATAGATACGTACCTTATGTATGAATAATACGTTTTTTAAACGTACTTTGTGCGTGGTCGTAATCTTCTCAAAAGTGGAGCATCTAAAACTCTGTTCACGCCCGCGTTGTAGCTATGATGATCATTTCAGTTGGCTAGAATTAGTAAATGTGTGTTCGGTTTGTTTATTTAGTGTATCCATGTTTTTTTAATTGCGTCGCTGAAGACCAGCGCTTCCTGATTGTATTATCGGCAAATCATCGTTTCGAAATGTCCAAGGTTCTCTGCTTTGGTGCATCACTTCCGTGTCCGGAAATGTGTTTGTTTGGTTATTCCGTTGTTACTTCAAGCGGAAAACTTTTAGTTGAATCGTATCGATCGCTCCGGTCTAACACTGTGGCGTTCGGCGCGGCTCTATGGGTAGAGGGGATCACTGATTCCAGTAACTGAGACGTCAAGGGATTCTGATTCAGTATGGCGTATAGTCAAGAATGGAAATGTATTAGCCCAGCTATGAAGGCGTTGTCTCTTTTCGTCTATCCTGTATCTGCTGATTATCTCAGAGGGAAATGCTTAGCTTTCATAGCCAAAGCTGTAAGTCACTGTTGACGTTGAGCCAAACTGGCCAGCAGCAGCCTCGATTGGATTGGAGTAAAAGAGAAGTAAGTATAGTAGATTTTGTTGAAATTATAAGAGGTTATTTAATTTTTGTGGGATGTATAAGTACTTCGGACTTAAATTGTGTAGATTCGGATCAAATCTGTTGAGGTGGAGTTGAGTATTGGAGATACCAGAGTGTAATGGGGCTCCACCACATCAGTCAAATGAGCAGTTTTACGATTTTTAACGGAATGTAGGTTTGTCTGGGAAGATCTGTTGTTTCGACTATCATTCTTCCAGGATGGTTTGTGAATTGGCGACTGGTGTAATATCGAGATAGGAGTAGAGTAGGGTGTGTAGTTGGCTCTGGGAAAGATTTGGCGTGCAGTATGTAAATGGTCGATGTTAATAATTTTTGTGTACCTAGTTACAATTCGGAGGGCGGCATTTTCAACAGTTTTAGTCTTTGGGTTGATGAAGCGCTGGCTACATGTCTAGCTGGCTATAAGTGCTGGCGATAATCGCCGAAGCGTCTTACATCACTCTGTGCGTGGTTAACAGCGTTCCCCTGCTTAAGCTTTAGTTTGTGCCTGAAATGGTTTTTAGTGCCGAGCTACACTGCTTTACTTGAGGTGCATGGATTTTACAGTGTAGGTCTTACTTCTGAAATGAGTGTAAATTGAATCCTAGGTTTGTGGGTTTTTGTCAGTGTAAAAATGTGTTCTGTATTTCAACTTGAGGAGTTTTGTTTTTAGTTCTTGAAACGGTAGAGGAGGGTCACTGAACATCTTGAGGGAGAGACTTCGAAGCTTAGGCTATTGCTAAGTGAAAATTGTTTTATCGGCGAAATCGAGTTTGAGGCTTTTACGAGCTCGAAATCGTTAAGAAGAGTTGAAAGTTTTTAGCGTATCATCGTCAAAATGGGTGCTACTGGGAGAGAAAACGCCTATTGAAACTCTGGTAGAATCATGCTCAGCTATATGCCTTTCGACGATAGAAAACCACCAGTATCACTTTGATTCTAGCCTAGTTATTTGCTCTCGAAGAGAACAATTTCGACCGCGCTCAATATCAGTTCATTAACCCCAGGGTACCAAATGCAAGGTTTCTTATATTTCAGATATTATATTATAGTTACTAGTTCAGTATTACTAATAATAAACGTGGAACTTGTCAGTGATGGCTCTTCGTAACATAGTTCCAAAACTGATGTTACCGTCTATAAGACTGAGTTCAGCAGCAGCCATACCAAAACTCGTAACGTCATCAGTTCCAGGGCCCAAGTCGCAACAGATGAAGGAAAAACTAGGGACCATTCAGAACACAGAGGCTGTCAATTTCTTCGTGGACTATGAGAAGTCGCAGGGGAATTATATCGTGGACGTAGATGGAAATCGTATCCTGGACGCATTCACTCAGATATCGTCTATTCCGATAGGGTACGTTGAATAATTCTCAGGAGATATTATAATAGGTAAACATGAAACAGTTTAAAACGTGGTAATTGTACGGCTTGGTTCATGTATTTGCAAACTAGCCCTTCAAAAGATCAAATTGATATTGATTTTGTAGCGGAACTATTTATAAATCCATATTGATGTTTTAGTACAAATTTAGTCGAAAGGAAAGTATGATAGTTGAGTCCTTCGAAAAAGCAATAATGAAAAGCTGGGCTTTGAATTCTTGAAAAAAAAAACCTGAAAGCAATTAAACAAATGTACTCCTTTATTCCGAAAGTGTGACGTCTATGCTTTTTATTCAGTGACTGTATTTTAGAGATGCAATTATCAGTTTTATAGCTGTTTTCTTTCGACTTTGTTGCGTCCACATTAGAATAGAAACTCAACTACAGGTTGAATTCTTTTCTTTGTTTTCGTTCTGGCATAATAAATGTTTTGTTCAGGCACCGTGTAAGTGTCTAGTGCGAACATCTGATATGTCAAACATCCGATTTTATTACCCTTGCGATATGTAAGGGTATTGCAAGCGGGTACTAGACTCTTTTTCCCGTAAACAATTTTGTCCACAGGACTCGTCTGGACTCATTTATAACTTGTTTCATTATGTATTCAAATTATTTGTTTTTAGTGTTTCAATTACGCCTACGTTTTGTAATTTTACTTATCTTGACTTTCTATTTCCTTCTTGGTTTTTTTGTTTCGCTTAAAAAATTCCTGCGCCAAATATATTTCGGCCTATCTTGTCATCGGCTTAATGACCTATTTTTGGGACGTTTCAAGATCAACGCAATTTTAGCAGTCCCCTCCGTACTTTTCAAATTGTTTGTTTGTATGTTCACCAATCTGTTTGTTGAAATTTAATTTTTTCGTTTTGGATTTTTTTTACTTGTTGTAAAAATTTTAGTTTTTTTCAGAAACTTCTGATTTTCAAAAAAAGGAGTATCAATTGAAAGACCGCTTATTCACAGTGTGCCTGAATACTCCCCTATTTTTTTACTTGACCCCCCTGTCTACAGCTCTATAAAAATATGAGAGAATATTTGTCTCATAATTGGATTTTTTCGTTTTCTCGAAAACTATCTCTCTCAAAGTTCAAGGGATAGAGCTGTTTTAAAAAAGCTCCCCTGCATAAATGGCTACGTCTATTTTTTTTGCACAAAGTTATGGCCCTCGGAATATTCGAATTTATTTTTGACCGTTTTGTGGATCTTTTCGTTTTTATCGAAAATTAGCTTCTCAAATCTGATATTGTGAGTTCAATGAGATAGCAGTTAGTGCGAAATTCTCTGTGTTAGCGTTCACTAACAAAAAGTTTTCTACAGGAAGTTATCGCCCCTTGAATAGTCCAACTTTAATTTTTTGACCTTTTTTAAACTTTTTGAATATTCTTGAAAACTACCCTGCCATACTTAAGATTTTGGGTTCAATTCACAGGACCCGCAATTTAGCGGACACTAAAAAAAAGTTTACACAAGAACTTATCGCCCTCTAAAAAGTCAATTTTTTTAAAATTTTTGACAGTTTTATTTTTTTTAAATTATATTCTCGAAAACTACCCTGCCATACCTGCGATTTTGGATTGAAACGGTTTGCAGAAAAACGTTATGGATTTTATATGGCTTTATGAACATTTTTTAGAACTTTTGACCGCTTTTTAGAAACCTTTTGCTTTTTCTTAAATCTCATTCAATCAAATCTGAGATGAAAAGTTCTCAGATTTTATGCAAAGTCCATTTTTTGAAATCACATTTTTCGTGCCGCATCCGTATAGCAATCTCATTCAATATTAAACACGCACCTCCCGCTTTATTTGGGCCTGTAGTTGTTTTTTATCGAGACTTCGTTTTTTTTTTCATTATCCAAAGTTTTTTTTCGATGGTTTTTGTTTTTTATGTGTTTGTTTTTTGTTTGTGTGGTATCCTAAGTGGTGCGAAGCTCCGCTTCGCCTCTGTGTGCAATAATTAAATAATAATATGACGCAAGACTTTCAAAGGCAATACTTAGTTTAGTTAGCCTATTTAAATTCAGCCGACTCTCGGAGTAAGGTCGCGGCAGTCAGTTTTAATTCGGCTAGTCCAGTATCTTTTAAACCAACGGTAGAAATCGGATATTTCCCTTACTTTTTGAAAAATTGCAGGTGTTGGCCCTAGTAAAATTGTTTTCTGGGTGTTTGCAAACTTTTTTGGTTTTTCGGATGTTTGGCACATCGGATGTTACCACGGTACCTCGTGATTATCCGATATGTCAAACATTCGAAAAACAGGTAAGTGTTGCAAACATCTGAAAAACAGCATTAATAGAGCAAGCATCTGAGATTATTCAAAAAGTAGGGCAAAGATCCGATATCTACTCTTCGCTGGAAAGATAAGGTTATGTTCGAACTATTAGAGACAACTGCAGTCGCGCCATCTTGTTGCGAGCTTGCCAACAGAGGGCAAGACTCAATACAATAATTAGAACCGGTTATTGCCGTGAAGAGGCGACGCGTGCAAAAGGTACTCACCGGTCATTTTAAACCAAAAAGCGGCTAATTTGAAAACCGCTAAATAAACAATGTCTTGTTTTTAATTTTTTTGTATTAATATTATGTACTTATTTTACGATTTCGGATGTTTGATATAGTGGATGTTTGACATATCGGATGTTTGCCCTAAACCCGTTTTGTTCATGTGTGTAGATACAACCACCCAGCACTAATTGAAGCTGTGCAGAGTAAGAGTGCAGTGACTGCCAGCGTGAACAGACCAGCACTCGGCATGTTCCCTCCAGCTGACTTCATCGACAGTGTCGACGACGCATTCCTCTCCATTGCACCCAAAGGGTTACCATTATATTATATCAGACGCGTCCCCCACCCCGCCCGGCATGTTATTGTTTTATATAAACCAAACGACCGTTTGTTTTTTTCACAAAAATATGTGCAAATTAGATGTACACGCGCAATTTTGTACACGAAAATTTTTGACAATTAAGATCAAGTTTTTACCACGAAAAATTAAGTTTTGTAATCAATGTAGACGATACTTCTGATGAGAACTTTTAAGCTTGTAGTCTTTTTATGTTTGATTTGGGTCGGTTTAGAGTACAGAAAAATGTTCTACCATTTCTAGTTTGATTTTTAATTCTGGGAAAAATGAGAGTTTATCTGTTTTTGTTGCATTTTTTGCAGGTTCAGTCACGTGCAGCAAATGGCCTGTGGAACATGTGCAGTTGAGAATGCCCTGAAGTGTGCGTTCTTCAAGTACAGAAACGACGAGCGAGGAGGATCCGAACCAGTGGAAGTAGACATGACGTCATGTATGAACAATGAGGCCCCTGGATCTCCCAGTTTGGCAGCCATGTCATTTAAGAGTGGGTTTCATGGGAGGACTTTGGGATCTTTATCTCTAACGAGGACGAAACCAATTCACAAGGTGAGTATTTTTTGCTTCTAAATGGGCATTTAAGTTTGCGAAAAAAATCAGTCACGAAATTGAGCAACGAGATGTTTAGTGTGAAAATAAAATTTACTTTAGGCATTGAATTTATTTGTTTCGGTTGATGACTACTGCCAGCTGGAAATCCAATAGCTGCAGGGGTCATACTTAGTGGTAGGGTGGACTATTTTTGTAACTCTTACTTTTTTAGCTAATTCTCATTTCGAAAGGTCGTCTCACTGTACATTTAAAATTGATACATTCAGTTTTTGTTAATATTTTGATAATCCAAATTTAATCGTCAATTTATCCAAACGTTTCCACCATTTAGGAACATAAAAGGTAAAGTGGAATTTCTATCTTTAGTTTAACTGGCCTTCTAACGTGACCATTGTTGCTTGCTACGATAATTATTCATTATCATCAAAAATCAATTATTTTAATCGAAGACTATTCTAGGTAGATGTTCCGGCATTCGACTGGCCATGTGTAGATTTCCCTATTCTGAAGTACCCTTTAGAGGAAAACGTAGCAGACAACGAGAAGATAGAAAAGGAATGTCTCGCCAAAGTAGAAGAGACCTTTCATAAATGGAAATCATCGAAACCCATAGCAGGTAATCAAATGCAAATGATTCTTACCGACGTGTTGAAATTTTGATGTCATTATTAGTTCCAAATTTTCAAAGTGTAATATTAAAAACAGAGTTTGTTGCCTAAAGTATTTTTTAGTTTTTTTTTAATGTAAGTATTTCATTTAAGTGGCTAGTTCTTTCGTTTTTGATTGAAGTTCTATGAGAATCGATGCTTTTTTGAATGATGTATCTATCGCTGCAGTTAAGGATAACCGTTTTGAGATACTGTAAAATGAGTTTGATCCGTTTGTATTAGCTCTGATTGTGGAGCCTATTCAAGCCGAAGGTGGTGACAACCACGCCTCTCCACACTTCTTCCAGGGACTTCAGAAGATCTGCAAGGAACACAACTGTGCTTTCATAATCGATGAAGTCCAAACAGGCGGGGGCCCCACTGGTCAGATGTGGGCGCACGAAACATGGAACCTACCTACGCCTCCTGATTTCGTAACCTTCAGTAAGAAGATGCATATCGCCGGTTTCTATTACCAGAAGAGTTTCGAGCCCAAGCAGGGATACAGAGTTTTCAACACATGGGTCGGAGATCCTTTAAGACTCAGTTTGCTGAAGACGACAGTCCAAGTTATCAAGAGAGATTCGCTGCTAGATTTAGCGAAGAAAAGTGGAAATATTTTGATGGATGGCTTGAACCATTTGCAGGCATCGAAGCCTAATATGATCTCTCGACTGAGAGGCATGGGAACCTTCATTGCATTTGACTTGCCAAGTGAGGAGCTAAGAGGAAAATTAATTAATGATATGCTGCAAAAAGGTGTCCTAATTGGTGGATGCGGAAAAACTGCAATTAGGCTGAGGCCATCGCTGATTTTTGATAAGAATGAATGTGAAATATTCTTAAGTACATTAGAGAAATGTTTGTAATTTACTGAAATGAAATTTGTTATTTAGAAATTTGAAGTGTTTGGTAATTTCGAGTCTGAAAGAATAATTTTCCAAACAGAAGGAAGAAAAGTGAATTGGCATGTTTTAATTCTTTTGTGGAAAAATGTACTATCTAACTTGTAACTTGCATTGACATGACAGTCCAAGCTGTAGCGAAAGTCGTACTAAAGTCATAGGCTGAAGTAATTTTCGTGCAAAGTTTTAATAATTTATTGGGAGGCTTTTGGGAGGTTAAGTCTAAAGTTTTCTTATTCCGTAATTTGAAAGCTGCTTTTGTACGTTGACCTGCAGATATAATGACTACAGAGATGTTCAGTCAATTTCTTTTCAAATTGAAATATATTATATTATTGAAAACTATATATAAAATTAAAGATCAGTTTTCGCACAAGTTTCGGTACAAGTGTGGCGAAAAACTGTTCAGGAGTGCCGAAAATCAAACAGTTTTAGATAACGTAATGGATCATTTATAATAAAGAATGTACAAAGTTTTCAATGTTTATTTTTCTTAACGCAGACAATTTTTTTCAGTTCAGCTATGTTCCCTTTCTTCGATGTTTTTTTTCTTGTTTTGGAGGAATGTCCTCGTTTTGGTAAGATTTGAAGGAAATAGTAGAAGTATTTTTCCTTTCAATTTTTTGTAAACAAAAATTTAGAAAATTAGTTATAATCGGCCATTTTACTTTTCCCCAATGCGATGCCATCCCTCGCAGCTGTTCGTTGTTGAGAGAGAATATGGTATTTTATAGGATAATGGGTTTTTTTGGTTATTAAGAGTCTGAACGTAGTTAGACTCTTCTATAGGTTGCGATGATTTTTTTTCAGGATAACTCCTTTTTTTTCAGAATAATTGACTTTTGATTTCTTTTTAAGTTCAGTTCATTTCTTTTGCTAAAAAGAAGGCAAACTCCATTAATCGAACAGCAAAATGTAAAGGTCACGAAAAACGTGATCGACTTCTAACTTTGAAAATAGAATTTCTTTATCAGGTTTCCCTGCGAAATAAAAGTTTTACCTTTTAATCCAGTTTTTTGTTTCAAATTGAGTCAATTTTTTTTTCGAAAAACCGCCAATCAATAATTGTTCTCAAAGTTCAATGAGCTTTAAGGGCAACTATTTTTTTCTTTGAAATTCGAAAGTGGAGATTTTTTAAAGAAACGAGTCAGTGTTTTCTTCTGTTGAATTGCGTTTATTAACTCTTTTTCAACTGTTTGATGGCTTTGTTTTGATTCTCTGTTAGTTCCTCTTCATTAAACCGACTGGTAGTTTTGACAATTTTTTTAATCGCTGAATACTTTCTCGAATGTTTCGGGTCTGGCGGTAGCCAGTGGCGAGGAGAAACTTTTGTGCTTTTCTAAGGTTGCCTGGAATTAATTGAAGTGACACCGCAAGGCCGAGCGCCTGTGAAACTGCAATGCAGCAGCACTAAAAATGTTGTTTTTTGAAAATCTGTCAAAAGTTGTTCAAGAAAAAACCGGTTTCCAATTTTTTTTATTTGGGTTCTTGTAATCGCAACAAAATTATGTACGAATCCTGGATTTTTTTTGTTTTTGAAGACTGCAAATTGTGTTATTTTGGATAAAAGTTTTGGGAGCAGTTTGAAAGTACTGTAAGCCAGTTTTTTGTGTTGCACGCCAACTGCTCCTTATCGTTTTTTGCTTGCAAAAATGTATTCAAGATAATGTTTTGTCCCATGAGCTGGGAAAATTGATGTCGGAAACTGTTTTCGTCCGCGGTATTAAAAAAAATTGGAGATTCAATAATTAGGGATTAAATTTTCGCCATTTTCAGAAATCTGTTTGATAGCATGCATCCTCATAAATCTCATCTATTTAAATGGCTCATTTTCTCCTGCACTCATTTTCTTTAAACACAGTTAAGCCCTTTTATTTAATAAATTTCGACGTGATCATCTCCGAGAATTATGGTAAGGGTTAGGGAGTCTTTTTTGATGTATCGATATCGGGGAATGACTCGGGAGCAGATGAAATGTTGCTTCGGAAAACATTTGCAAAAAAACTCGTTATAAGTGAAGCTCGAAAAGCTAATTGGCAAAAGTTTCCAATTTAATGCTTCTTGATTCCCCGAAATCACTAAAAAAAACTATCGGTCAAACAAATTGGAGGCTTAAACTCAAGATGGATGCTTAAAGGAGTTAATTGGAGGCTTAAAGTCCTCTGAACGCTTAGTGAAGCAACACCCCCCCCCCCCCCGCCCTTAACACATGTAAGGTTTGGGGGCCTAAAGTTAAATGATCCATGTTATATGTTAGACTATTGACTCAGTCTAATTTAGTTTGAGGCTTACGATATGACGAAATCAAGTGAGGGCTTCGGAAAATGCGCGGCTCGAAGAATGGAACAACTGATTTAAGATAAAATTACTCCCTCGATTTACGACAGTGATTACAGTGATCGTTACATATTTTTAGCTCCTTTTTACACTACTTTTGTTTTCTAATAATAAGTAGCTTAAGATTCTCCTTTCGGCTAAAGCTTTTCATTTTGGCAATAATTGTTCATTTTAGGTAACTTGACTTTCAACATTATTAAATATTAACGAATTTGACATGTGTGTTTTAGTTGACCAGAAGACAAAGTTATTTGACGATAAAAGTTTTCTGAACATAAGGTCGAGTACAAATATCAAATATTTGTCGAAAATTCATTGAATTTACTGAGTTCAAGTTTCATCACATATCTCAATCCCTTTATTGCTTTGAGTTTTTCGAGCGTTTTTTTGCCTTGACGATTTAACTATTCTCATTCCATATCTGAATTGTTTTTGGTCTCCAACCAGTATTTTGGAGCCCCGCTGCTGATCTACTGATCAACTCGTTTAAGAATTTCTCTGTCTTGGTCGAACCTCGTTGAGAAAACAAGAGAGTTTCGATCCTCTGCAGATTTCCACTTTAAATCAACCCCCTTTTTTTTCTACAGCTAAACCTCTCCCGGATAAAGGCTAACATTGAAATCAGGTTGTTTTTTTTTTCATTGAGATTTTGTTCGTAGTGAATTAAAATCTAGTAGACATTTTCCGCCTCTGTTGGTAAGCCTTGTTTGTTCGTGCCACGAGTTTTAACCAGTCTGACTTGTTTTTTCGTTTTCACTCTCTTCTGTTTTTCAGAGTATTCGGTTTAGATTTGGGTAGGTTTTGATGTCTGAAATCTTGTCAACGATCATGTGAGAACTTATGTCACTGGCTCGAGTGTCAACTGCAAGCTTTCCTGATGTACCCATGTTTCTCTCCAGGAACATGGTCATGAAGGATTGTTCTTGTCACTCGACTTTAATTTGTTCTTGCCCACTTCGTAAGTGTTTTTGGCAACTGATCTCAAGTGACATATTTGTCACGGCGTTCGGATCATGTACAGTTGTTGCCCGGTGAGCATAAATTGTCTTTGGAGAAACACTGTAGTTTTTAATCTACTTTTTTTCATTTGCATCATACTTAAAACGAACATCATTGCAAAACTCCTGGATCGGAAACTTTTATCATTTATACAAAAAAGAACTGGAAATTAAACTTTCTTCTATTTTGTGAGCAATTCTTGCTGCTCCTGATCTTGTCAAATAAAAAATCGAGAGTGTCTATCGTTCGTGGAGTTTCAAGAATTCATCGCTGATTCTTGTGTAAATGGCGCAGAGACAATTCAGCCACAGACAATTGATTAGAGTCAGAAGGCTTTCAAAATTTTAACAAAGAAATGTGGAACATCAAATAACAAATTTCAAAGATCAAAACAAACTTGCTGTGCATAAAGTTTTAAGATATATGTACATTGAAGGTACAAAAATTTAAATACTTCTGTTTATGGTCTTGATTGTAGTTTTTTGCGTTTTGAACGAGTTTCTCATTGGCCAGTGAATACTTGGGCCTCGATTTTCTAATAATATCACCGGACATCAGTCTCTACATTTATTTCGGCATTTTTTTGCGCGTCTTTGAAACGTGTAATCTGCGTGGGGAGGGCGGTGTGCTTTGTCGACACGAATTTATTGAAGCTGCCATTCCATGCGTCCAATGCGTTGTTCGTACGAGGTTCACCGCTGAGCACTCGATTGAAAACGTTCCAATCGCCAATGTCAAACTTTGGTTTGACGCGTCTATTCCCTCGACAGGCACCAATTTGGGTGTCTTCAAAATAGTCCGATAGACTCTGAAATTCCTCTGAGAGATCCTCTTTTCGGAGAGCCTCAAACGCGAAAATATCGTCGTCAACAAGAACGAATGCCAAGCAAATAATTTTTTTGACAATCAGTCGAAACCCATCATCGTCCTTGTACTTGCGCCAGACTGCCTGGCCTACATGGAAGAAACAGAATTGACTTTCTGTATCAGGCTACATTTTCCTTATGGCGTTGCGAACAGCGGCTTCAAAATCAATGACTACTTTTTTTTCCAAATTGCTCTAAGCAGCCAAAAAGTTTTTCCGCGTTCAGGTGTTACGAATTTCATTTTACGTCAATTTTTGCTTAAAGTGAAAGATTTAGAATGATTCAGATATTAATCAATCAGTTGTTCAAGCTAGTTACTAATGAATATTAATCAATGTTAATTGTGTAAATGGATAATCTCACTGCAAAAAGTAGGCGTTAAACGCGTTACTGGTTTCTGGTTGGACAATATTTTAATCGCAATTAGTTTATTTTTTAAAGAAGTTTAAGTTTCTAATTAGTTTCAACTAACTACCCAAATTACTAATAGGCGGTTGCACCCTCCCCCGCCTAAGGCATGATAAGAATATCAGGGTAACTGTGTGGCCAGTAGGTGGTAGCGGTGATCAACCCTTAAACCGATATCCTTTTTGACCGCCTGTAAAACTCCCAATCTCGGGTCTACTTTCGCGTAAATTGGTTAACTTTCAAATATTGGTCAGTTTTTTGTTGAGTTTGATTTTTGCGTAGTTACGATTCTAAAATTGGAAACATAATGAGTTGCATAAAGTTATATTATGTTTAGGTACTTTTTTCTGTTAATTTTATTTGTTTTATGTGCATTTGAAAGGAATTATTTATAAGTCGTCTAATGAAAGCTTTGATGTTTTTCCGCGTGTGAAAAGTTTTTGCACGCACGTTTTCAAACTTTAAATCGGTCTGAATTGTCTTTGGCCGAATTGTATCACTCATTTTGACTGAAGTATCTGAGTTTGAAATTAGCTGAATTGTCTGTGACCGAATTGTCTGAACATCGTGTAATTTTCCATGGCAACAAGTTGAATTTAAAAACTAACGAGGCAGATAAGGCACTTTGTATTAAAAAATCTATAAGGCCTAATATCGATAGGTGTCCCTGGTTGCACCAGTTTTACT